GAATACTTTAAAATTATATTAAGAATGTAATATTTCGACCTCGTTTGATATCCTGTAAAGAGCCCGAAAATTAAGACAAAAATATAAGTAATTTAATCAATTTTTAATAATTTTCTCCAACCAACCCTCCTTGGCTTTTCCTTTCACCCGACACGTGCCCTCCACTTTGAATTTCTGTAGCACTTTTGTGAGAATTGTTCTATACCTGTAACTTTACTCTTTAAAAAAAGACTAGTTATACGCGTTTTTCAACACACACGTTTGATGTACGTTTAACTATTTTCGTTATTTATTTAGATCATTCAATATATCTATGATATAGTTCTCGAAATGAGTTTCAAGAGAATATAGAAAATTTATGGATTCGACTAGCATAGAATCATTGAAAAAATTTTAAAGTTAGCCTGTTATCGAAATACTAGTTTGGAAAGGTCAATTTTGATGCGCTGTAACATTTGCTACGATTGGCCGTTTCGTGCACCGTTAACGTTATGAAATACTAGGCCGTGAGTACTTCAAAATAATATTAAGAATATAATATTTCGACCTCGTTTGATATCCCGTATTGAGCCCGAAAATTAAAACAAAAATATAAGTAATTTAATGAATTTTCTAATAATTTTCTCCAACCAACCGTCCTTAGCTTTTTCTTTCACTCTACATGTACCCTCCATTTTGAATTTTTATAGCACTTCTGTGAAAATTGTTCTGTATGTGTAGCTTTACGCTTAAAAAAAAGACGAGTTATACACGTTTTTTAACACACACGTTTGATATATGTTTAACTATTTTCGTTATTCTTTTAGATCATTCAATGTGTCTATGATATAATTCTCGTAATGAGTTTTGAGATATAGAAAATTTATGAATTCGACTAGTGTAGAATCATCGAAAATTTTTTAAAGTTAACTTATTATCGAAATATTAGTTTGAAAATATCTAGGTTGATGCGTCGTGATGTTTGCTACAATTGGCCGTTTCGCCCATCGTTAACGACGTGTAATAATAGGCCGTCAGTACTTCAAAATGATATTAAGAATGTATTATTTTGATCTCATTTGATATCTGGTATTGTACCCGAAAATTAAGATAAAAATATAAGTAATTTAATGAATTTTCTAATAATTTTCTCCAACCAATTGTCCTTGGCTTTTCCTTTCACCCGATACGTGTCCTCCATTTCGAATTTCTATAGCACTTTTTGAGTATTATTCTATACGTGTAGCTTTACTCAAAAATGAGTTGTAGATGCCTTCGGAAAAGAAATAGAATAAATTAATTAAATAACCAGGGACAAAAAGACTCACCAAATCATTGACTCCAATGTTAGCCTCCGTTTGGTACAAATTAAATTTTTAATTTTAATTTAAGTCAAAGTCAACAACTAATTTTAAATATATATTTTGTGGGATCCACAACTATTTAACCATACATTTCACAAGCTTTTATCAAAATCTACTAAAAATCTGATTTTAACATTGTTGGCGATGTGGCTAGTGGTGGTCACAAGTGTTTTGATTGTTTATGATCAAGAAATTGGCGTATGTGACTAACCATTTAGTTATATGTGACCAATTGTTTAAGTGTAATCCTAAAATTTGACAACCTATGACCAATTAATTTGACTTCGAAATAATCTGGTGACCTCGAAATGATTTGTGACCTACAAAATTTTTGATTTGTGACCTCCAAATAATTTGTGACAAATTAATTTGACTATATGTGATAAAAAAAATAGATCTGTGACATGTAATTATGAATCTGTGGCAATTAATCGAATAACTGTGACTTCCTTATATTTAATTAATAAATATTTTTAATTAATTATATAGATACCTGAATTTTGAATATTTAAACACTTATCTCATTTATGAATTGGTGCAAACAATTCGTCCCATTTATGAATTTTTCCCAAGAGGAAATTACATAAAACCAGGTATTTAAAGTTTCAATTTAAAATACAGGTGGGAAGTTTATTTAATTAAAAATCAGGTATTAATTGGATATTTTATCAATCAATTAATTCAATTCCAAACCCTAATTCACTCCATTCTCTCTCTACTCTATCCCCATTCTCTCTACCGAGACTGGCTCTGCTAAATCTGATTGGGGCAAATGCTAGTGTTGTGACTAGTGTCGGGTGTAGGACGCTCGACGCTGCGACGAGTGTCGGCGCCGCGACAAGCATCGTTCTGAGAGAAGCTCCGGTGATTCTTCAAGAAGCTCGTGTGTGTCGGCAACAGGCGAAGAATCGACCGCCGTGGGTGATGCCCCAGCACCTTACCATCGTAAGCAGCAATGTACGGTTGATTAGAGTTGGTGTGGGGGTAGCCCATCACGAAGCTAGTCATCTCTCCCTCTTTCCGCCTTCCTTTTTTGCATCTGTTTTTCCAGTTGGTGCGGTGGTTTTAAGGATTTTATACGTTGTGGTTTTCTGATTGTGGTTGGATGGATTCTATGGGTGTTGTAGCGTTGGAAGAAATGGTGGATTTTAGCAGGCAGTGGTTGTGGTGATGCGGTGGCTATTAGAGTTGCAGGTGGAGGTGGTGGATGGTGTTTGAACAGGCGGTTGTGGGGGTGGCAGCAGTGATATGTGTGGTAGTCATGGTGGTGGTAACCGAAAGAAATGGTGGAATTTAGTAGGCAGTGTTCGTGTTTGTATGGTGGTGATAGATAGTATTTGTGACCAAGTGTTGCGGTGGAAAATTGGATCGGGTTGGGTGTGGTGCAAGTGGCGATTGGGTGGTGGTGTTTTGTGATCAAGATTGGTGCTAGATGGAACTGGTGGTGGGGGTGACCATAAAATTTGGTCTGTGACTTTAAAATTTGACACCTGTGACTAAAACAATAATCTGTGACTGATAAGTGTGTTTTTACACACTTAATTGGTTCATAAACATGACTTAAACATGGGTAAAATGGTTGAATTGTGACTTAATCCAGTTAAATTCATGCATTGTAGGTAATTCAATGGAAATGTGGAATTCAGGAGAAAAAAACTGAAGAAGGACCAAAACGCAACAATTTGATAGTTCAAGGACCAAAGGTGCAAATATTGAGAAGTTGAGTTAAATGCAAAACGAGAGTGAAAACATGCCAAGTATGAGCTTAATGACAAAGCAAAACAAATGGAAGAAGAAAGTATTGAAGAGAGACTGAAATGAAGACAATTGAAAGTTGGAGGACTAAAGCGCAAATACTCAAAAGATGTGCCGAATGAGGGACATGAGAATTGATGGTGTCAATCATCAATTGGAAGATAAAATTTGTTGAAAAGATGAAGAAATCGAAGAAAGAAGTCAAGAGAAACAACAAGGAAGTTCAGGGACCAAAATGTAAAAACCACATAGTTGGTTATATCTATGCGACCGCATAGTGTAACCATCTATGCGGTCGCATAGATGGATACAGGGAAAAAAATTGGGCAGCTCAAATGACCTATGCGATCGCATAGGTTTCTTCTATGCGGTCGCATAGAAGAAATTTCGGGAGGTTTTCTACAGTTTCCTTTTTCGACTCCAACTCCTTTCTTACCTAAATTGGACACGCTATATATACCCTAAAACACGTCCAGAACGGGGGTAGACGTTTTTGGGAGAAAAGAGGCACACAAGAATATCAAGATCCAAGAATTTATGCAAGAAGAATGAGGATTTCATCAAAATTGAAGATTTCAAGCTACAATTATAATAGGGTGATGTCTTCTCCTTTATTGAATTTCTGTAATTCTCTTCAAAATATGATAGGCTAGGGTTTTTGTTCATTAGGAATTTGATGAACCTTTTGATGATTTAAATTTCCATTATTTCATTAATTCAACAATAGTTTCGTTGGACAAATGTTTGATTTATATGATTTGAATGCTTCCATAATTATTTGGCCAATTGTTATGTGATTGTAGATGATTTGTTCTTTGCATTCGAAAGAAGGGGAATAAATTCGATAGAATATAAATTGACATAGGGTCCGATAGGGGATGGAAACTTACCTCTATGCTTTATGCAATTCATGAAGATGTTCATAAAAAGTCATGCATTCTTGTACATTGCATCATCCATAGAAATATAGGCTGGGGTGTGTAAGAGTAGATTCAATATATATCGAGAGAGTGTATTGGATAATTTAGGAACATTGAATTGACATTTTGTTTCATCGATTCGTTGAATTTGTGAAATTAGGGTTTTTAATAGTTAATTGGGGATTCAAGTTCTTAATGATTTCATTTCGATTCATTTGAATATATTTGTGATAAAATTGCATATTTACATTTTAATTGCGTGTTTATTTAATTCGATTAGTGAAATTTCGAAATTAGGGTTTCCAATTTCGAAATTAGGTTTTTCTTTGCAATTAGGGTTTCAAATTGGGGATTTCTTCCAGAATTAGGGCTTTTCACATTTAAACCAAATTTTCATTCAATTAGATTCGGTTAATGTCACATTAGTCTAATTAGAGCTAATTCAATCCTCGTGGGAATGATACTTGGACTCATAATCCATTTTAATACTTGTTAACGAACCGTACACTTGCGGTGAGTTTTAAAATCGAAAAGGAATATTTCGTGAACAGTGACCTCAACGATTTGGTCTGTGACCTTAAAATTTGACGATTTGTGACTAAAACAATAATCTGTGACCTTAATGATTTGGTCCGTGACCTTAAAATTTGACGAACTGTGACTTATAAAATTTTCGATTTGCCAACTCGAAATAATCCGTGACCAATTAATTTGAAGATATGTGACTGGTAAATAAATCTGAGAAATTTGTGACCATTAATTGTTTAGCTATGACTTTAATATATTTATTTAATAAATAATTTTAATTAATGAAATACAAACCTGAATTTTCAAACTTTTAACCTCACTTTTGAAATGGTGTAAAAAATATACCTTAAATATGAATTTTTCCCCTTTCCCAAATAACAGACTAATTTATTGCAAGTGGGCCATAAGATATGGCCCATGTGGGGAAGATGCCGCTTTTCTTCCCGTTACGAAAGCCATGACCAGATCCCCAATTGGGATCTTCGACCCCCTTAAATCCCAATAAATACGCAGAGAGGTGAAGGGTGCGGTTTCTTTTCGCTCTCCTCTCGAAGGAACGAAGTAGTAGTTATGGAGTCATCCATGAGTACCACTGCTACTGCACTATGTTTTCTGGCGTTTCTCTCCGCTACTCACGTTACTGCACTCGTAGGTAACTCCCAAAAGTTCTTATTAATTGTGTCTGTTTTGTTTTTCCCTGGAGAATGTTGACTGAGTGTTTGCCCTAAGATTCAGGTCTTATTCTAGAAGAACAAAATTGGCGAAAAAGGTTTATTTCGAGTATTATGTGTGTGTTTAGCGAGATATTTATTCATATAATAATATCTGCGTTGTGAATAAGCCGTTAATAGTAATCATTTTCGCTGGTTTTACCATATGGTTAATTCGAATTATATGCGTTGTACCTTTTGGCGTTGCTCTCCACCACTCGCGCGACTGCACTCGTAGGTAACTTCCAAAGTTCCTAAAAAACCATGGCCGTTTTCGTTGTTTTGGTAGAATTTTTATTGAGCGTTTTATCTGTAATTATTTTCCCTATGTTTCGGTTTTATTCCGATAGATTAATTTTCAGTATTGATGTGCATGTATAGAAATATATTTATTCATGTAATAGCATTTGCTTAGAGAATTAGACGTTAATATGAAGCATCATTTTAACTGATTATTAATGTGCATGTATAGAAATATATTTATTCATGTAATAACATTTGCTTAGAGAATTAGCCGTTAATATGAAGCATCGTCGGTGGTTTTTGTTTATGTTAATTCAAAATATTTGTTGCTTTCTTGTGAATTTTGTTGTTGATTGGTTGTTGGATATCAAGGAATTAACTCTATAGTACTAACACGTGAGATTAAAACTCAGTAAAAGTTTGAGTAATGCACCTTTTGGAACTTCAATGTTTATTGAACTTTATTCCCATTGACACTTTCCAAGTGGATTTTATTGTTCCTTTTATAAAAAATTTCATCACCGTCTGATTGAATTTTCTAAGCCGTAAAGCTTTAAAGAACTAATATGAGATATTAATTTGAATGCTGAATTAGTTGATCAAACAAAAAGAAATGCACTTTGATACATAAAATGAGACGAGGAGGAAGGAGTCTCTATGTACACATTTTGTTTTCTAGTGTTGCATAGAAGATACATTCATTAGCTGAATGGTACATAGCATGGCTGCACTTGCATGGTTATTACTGCATATTCTTTACCAGTTTCGATAAAAGAGTATTTGGAATAATTGGAAATTTGGTTTTTGCTGTGTAATATCCACCAGTAATACCTAACGTTTCTGTCTTCAATATTTCACAGGTGTTGACGTAGAAAATCAAGTGGTAAATGTGACTTTAGTCCCTCTTATAGAGTCTCCACGCTATAAGGATGTTAGACTATGCGAACGAATCCAAGTGTCTGGTCTATCAAGACTAAAACTTGGGAGTTATTCAAGTGCACGCCGGGTCACCTTGGTCCCAATTCCGAGAAGACTTCATAAGAAATTTCAGATTTGTTTCCACAAGTAAGCTAAAACAAAAAAAGATTTTCCTTGAACATTTCACATGTTGAAATTTTCTGTCAGCAGACAATTGTATGTCAACATGAAGCATTTTGCAGGAATTCTTCACTTGGGCTGTGTCATTGCGAGAATGATAGCTGGAAAAGCATGCAGAATGACGTGTTGAACTCTGTCATTTCACCATATGAGGACAATTACATTGATGTGATGTTTGTCGGTGGCTTTTCTGCTTCCGAGCCTGTTTCTGTTACTGTCGCTGTTGCAGAAGGTCATACTCATATCTGCTTATGCTTGAGTTTTGTGCAATCCTATTGGGTCATCTATTTTGACATCTCCATCCCTCTCTCTCACTGTTGCAGAGTTTCAGAGATGGCGTCTGCTTTGTCTTGCTTTTGGTTTTGTACTATTGGTGCTTGCACCAATTGTTAGTAGCTGGGTTCCTTTTTATTACAGCAGTTCAATGGCTATTGGAGTTTGCCTTGTCGTCGTTATCCTTCTCTTCCAGGTACCTTGATTTATTTTGATTTCATTTGCTGTTACTCGGGTTTCCATTTCAATGATGATACTTCTTTCTTCCTTCTCTTGAATTTCTTTTCAAATCTCTTTTTTCCCCTAATCTGTATTTGGTGTTGATCTATGTCTTCACTAATCCATAAGTGGCATTCATAGTGTACTATGAAAGAAGTCTCATATGTTATGGAATATAAGGCTCCTACAAATTTTTGAGCATGAGGTTATAGTGAAACTGTAAATGACTATGAGCCGTAGCATCTTGTTACTTAATAATCGATTGCCTTAAGTTTCCCAAACAAGAAGAAATAGGAGGAGCCACTGATCGGAAAGATATCTGTCTGATTTATATGACTTAGACTGGAAGAAAATTGGTCTTTCCCTTCGTGGGTTTGATGAATTGGGTATGGGCTTCTTAGTCGATTCTTAATTATAGAGGAAAACAAAGGTAAATGCAGAAGTTGAATTTCGAAGCCAACAGGAAGTCCCCAGAAAAATATAAAGGTGGCTTAAGAGACGAGGAGGGTAGAATGCTGATCTTTTGATTTGGGTGTCAGATGATGTAGGTGGCCTTCTTGGCCTATCATACCTTACATCTTCATAGAAAGCGTTATAACTAATCTTAGGTGGAAAAGCTATTGTTGATTTTTTTCTTGGGCTACAGCATAAGAGAGTCCAAGTAAGTTATTGTGGGAAAGAATTATAATATTTATCTGTAATTTTGTAGTCTCTTTGAGACTAAGAGAATGCCTGTAAACAACTCACCTTTAATCTTTTTTTCATTTTAACATATCTTTGTCTTCAGTTCTTTTCCTGTATGGTGAGATGTGAAATCTTATTCGTGATACTTAAGTACTCTACAACGTATTGCTCTATATTTTTCTGATTTTTTATGCACACTTCTAGATTTGACATGGATATAGGATATTGCAAGTTTGTTTGGAATTGCTGAAAATGTGTTGGACCTGCCAGAAAATTGGGTAAACGTGGAGCACCTTTCGGAAAATGGAAGAATGACATATGAATACCTTTTTAATTACAATTCTCATATTTATTGTTCTCTCAATTTAATTCTTTACTTCATATATAGAATAGTCAAAACATTGGACAACTCCGTTCATGCATGCATAATCACCTTTCGGAAAACGGAATATGACGTATGAAAACCTGTTTGATTACAATTCTTTTATTTATTGTTTTCTCAATTTAATTCTTTACTGTATGTAGAAAATGATCAAAACATTGGACAACTCCATGCAAGCATGCATAATATTGTACCCTTTGTTCCATTTATGAGCATTATAAATTTACATAAAATGCATTACTGGACTTTAGAAAGTCTATAATCTTAGTCACTAAGTGGTTGACCATTTTGGAAATCTTAATGCCATCTTTATCGCTTTATATTTACTAGCTTACGTTAAGCAGGTTTTCCCAACTCTGCCACATCAAGTGTGGATGTTGCACTTGTCATAGTTAATATTTACACTATCTATGTTGCCTGTTTGCCTCTAGAATATTGAGTTTTAGTATTTTTTTAAGTATTTTCTTTATGAGCCAAAAGGTAAACAAGTGTTAAATTGTTTGTGTCACTTTCTAGATGGTCGCAGTTCTTATCTTTACAGTTGCACTTTTGCAAGTGTATATCTCCATCCATTCATTATGCAGGTCTCGTTGTTGGGAGCTCTGGAATTGCTCTTCTTTCTTAAGTAGTCAATGTTGTGCCCTTTGGTTGTTTTACCATGCCATTAAACTCGCCATGGCTTTGCTTTTGAATTATTGTGCAGGGGATGAAATTGTTGCCAACTGGCAGGAAAAATGCTTTCTATCTCATGATATATGGTTCAGTGGTTAGTATTCATTTGCGCTCTCTTTCTCAGATTGTCGGTCGATATAATCTATTATTCGCCTAGCTTAGTTTGAATTGTTTTCCAGCTTGGTGCAGGATCTTTTCTAGTAAATCAATTCTTAGAGTTTGTCAACTCAATACTTGTCAATTTTGGGATTAGCCAAGAGATGCACAACCCGGTAAGTGTTTATGCCTTTGATTTTGGATTTATTACTTTTTGCACTAACAACGGCGACTGTTGTGTCCGGTAGTTTTCTATCTTTTGTTGGATATAGATCCATATCTTTATGATATTTAAATGTAAGTTGGGGGGAAGATCGCCACATTCTGATTATGAAAAGAGAAAAAAAATGCTGTAATCCATATTCATTTCTATTAGTTTATTTCACAATATGCTGTTGTTCTTTTCTTTTATTTTGCTTTGATTATATACCCAAAATATTTCTCTACAGGTGGCTGTATTTTTGCTGGTTGGAATTATCCTTGCTGGAGCTGGTTTTGGATATTGGCTTGTAAGGAAATATGTTGTTTCAGAAGATGGAACCGTAGATGTTGGTGTAGCTCAATTTGTAAAATGGGGGATTCGGATAATTGGCGTGACTTTTATTTTCCAGGTTGGTTTTCAATGCACTTCTATTACTTGAATAAGTTTATAGGATGATAATCTTGCATATTCACTACAATGTGGATGAAGAAACTTTTCTGGATAATCACACAAATCTATCTGCATTCTGATTTCTTAGTCTTTTATGGATATGTTCATCACATTTTCTGTTTATCAACCTATGAATAATTGTTGCAGACAAAATACTTATTATATCACTTTATGAAATGGCAACCCATGTCTCCAATAAGATTCATCTTTTTGCTCATGCCAAGTCAGTTTGATTGTAATGATGGCATTAATAGTCAAAATGTCCCTTTTCATTTTCTTTAGGAACTCTTGGTGAGCTTTTAGCATGTGGTGATACTCTTGATTTTATAACTTTCAGATTTTATCTTTTACAAGGATGCCAAATTTTTTCGTTTTTGTTTTGTTTTGTTTTGTTTTGTTTTGTTTTGTTTTGTTTTGTTTTTGTTTTTTTTGTTTTTTGACTAATTAACTTCTGTGACATTCAATGCCAGAGCACACTTGATACTCCTTTGGCAGTGGCGCTACTTGGCTCTTCTTTGGCAATTTACTACTCTATTACTTCTATGAAATGGCTTCGCCCAAGGTAGCCCCTGTGGTTTCTATTTATAACCTTCTTGTGTCTTGACACAAGTAATTTTTATTCCCTTTATATTTTCATGCAATCTCGTTGTTAGGCACTTGAGCAAACTATGTGGCAAATGGTTTCTGAAAATTGCCTTTTACTTGTCCTATTAGTAAACTTATGAGGCATTTCACGGAACTATCTTGCAGTTTTTTAAACGGTGTAGTCTCTGCATCATGTTGTTAATGATGTTAATGAGGAGAAAATAAGCTCGTTTTTAAACGACGTAGATGATGAACAGATTCAACTTTTAAGAGTAATTTGCTGAAAGTTAATAATATTATCGTGTTGGTAGTAAATGTTTTTAATTTTTAAAAATATTTATTCTTAATGGTGCAGGGAATTAACATATTCTGGAAACAGGAGCTCATGGTCTTGGAGTAACGAAAGAACTAACAAGAACCCTATGCAACGCGCAGAGTTCTTAAGCAGGTCTGGAGCAACGAAAACTCGAGGAACTCTATGGAATAGCCCCAACAGTCCATCTGCATGGTCTGGTTCACCAGTTAAAGGTACATGTTGGGTATCCCCTTTCCTCCTCTTTTAAGCTCTTTTTCTACTTCATAATTAACACCGAAATGATATGTTTGTTGTATATTGGTGGGCGTATATCCATGTAGTGTATGTACAAGTATAGAAAACAGAAAACTATGGATAATATGGTTTAGTAATAGATTCAATTTTCGTGCTATAGTAATATTTTTGATGAGGAAAAGATAACATATTAAAGAGTGCAAAGTTAATCTGCCCACAGCTTTTTAGGTTTTGGGAGATAAGTGTACTTCCAAAATCTGTATTATTAAATGAAGCAAGTCATTCTGAGAATCATGAAGTCTGTTCATACATTGAGAGGCTGAGTATATTTACTTAAAAGTAGCAATACCTTTTGAATATGTACGTATGAGTAAACTATAGCTATATTCAATAACATTTTCATGCTTAGCCAAATGGCTACCAGATTTGAAATGTCAAATTATTGTGAAGGACATTATGATGTCCTTATTTAATAAAGCAATGAAAAACTGTTATAATCTAAATTTTATTCAAATTATGTATATTTTAATGCATTGAAGTTTTAGTATAAATTAGCCTTTTCCTTTCTTCCGGCCTCTGAAAAATTATCTTGGATGGATTCATTGCAGAGTTTAGAAAATAGAGTTGAGTTTTTTTTTTTTTTTTTTTTTAAATTAACACTTGCATTCAAGTTTGTCAGCTCGAGATAATATAGCACAGCTCGTCATGGTTTATACGTTGGATGTGTAATTGTCCAAGTAATAGTATTTTGTACGTGAACTAGTCTCTTTTTTTTTTAATAAAAAGGGGGTTTATCTACAAACATAAAGATTGTGATTGATCTTGGTTGGTCCAGGTGTCTTGTCAACATTTAATCAGAGGGTTACAAGAAATCGCCAGGACTATTATTCAACATTTCACAGGACACCTAACAAAAAGAAATTCTCCAAGGAAGAATGGAAGGATTTGACAGAGGAATCTACTCGGCAGGCAGTCACGGAGTTAACATCATCTCCCGAATTCACTGATTGGATAATCAAGCACTCTGATAGGATCCAAGTCCTCCCGAATGATAGTTCTGATTCAAGCGGAAGTGGGTTCGATTCAACAAATGAAAATGCTGCAGAGAGCAGCAGTGGGCTTAGTTTCTTTAATTGGAGTATGCACAAGTAGAGATCACATCAATTGGGGTTTATCAAATGGTTCAGAGATGCACTGGTCTCCCTCTCTCTGTCTGTACAGGGTAGCGTGGGGTTGAGGGGGGGGGGGGGGGGTTTTCATTTTTTTATTATATTGGAAAGTTTTAACTTAGATCCACCAGATTCTTTAGTATTATTCAAGCTCATGTAAGTCTTTTGATGTTTATTTTCGAGGAAGAGTCATCAATCGATGTAGAGTTGCACGTGTTTCTCATTATGTAGACAAAGAAAGGTAAATAGCTTAGTAATAGCACAAGAATTTTTCATCTTTAGTTTTCACCTTTTTAATATATTGTTCAATACGTCTACTATACCTAGTCGAAATTCTGAACCGACTCGATATAATGAGGTGAAACTTGGATTGACATGAGCACCATACAAATCTGTTGTATTATTTAGTTCTAGTCACTCTTAGCTCAAATTGAGTACAAATGTTCCTATTTCGAGAAACATGTTTTTGAAATGGTATATATACCACCTTCTAAAATTAGTAATACGAGTTTGAAGTTCTTGTTTTGTAGCATGGTGATAGGACTGTCAGCGCCAGGTAAAATGAGTACAGCTATTTATCAAAAAAATAAAAAAAATAGTTGACATCTAATTCTTTGGTATTTTAGTCAATTGAAATGAAAGCATACCAAAAAATAAGGGAAACTGGAGCCATGGTGTCAAATCTTTCACTTTTATATAGATTTGATTCAAACCTTTAAATTTGGTGCATTCATTGTCCTAAATCTTTCAAAAAATTGTATCTAAAGTCCAAATTGACATAAACTATTATTTTCTCAGTTGTCCAAAATTAAAGGTCTGACCAATTTTAAGGGCAAAAGGGTAATTTTACATTTCATCCATGTAAAAAACTAAAATAATAGAATTAAATCAAAACTCATAAAAAAGAAAAAAAAAAAATTCCTATTATGTCGGCACCCACCATCACGGACAGGCACCACCTCACCCACCCAACTCCGCCGCCGCCGCCACGACCACGCAATTCTCTGCATATCTATCCATTTTTCACTACAATTTCATTCATTTTCTTCCTTAAATCAAACCCTAGTTACAGCAATCTGCCCCCCTCAACCCCCGCATCTATCCATTTAATCATTATTATATAAATTTTCGAAAGCAATTTACGCCCAAATATGTAACTGTGTGCAAAATTCATAACACCACCACAGCATACTTTAAATCGACTATATGAAATGGTAGTATGGTTATAGGAAATAATTTCAAGAGATAGATTAGAATCTTGAAATTTCAATACCTCTTCCGTGATTTCAGGTGAAGATAAAGTAACGGAAAATTACCCAGAACCCTTCTTTTCAGCATTATTTCAAAAGCGAGTAAAAGATTAAATTTCAATAATGAGGTGGTAGATACTAATTTTTAAATTAATTAAAACAAATTAATTACACCCACCCACGCTATCACCCCCGAACACTTATTTTACACCCCAAACCCTGATTCATTTCTAACATACATAGTCTCTTTCTTCTCCAAAAATCAAATGATCACTCTCTTATCGAAAAATTAGGTCGACGACTTTTTCCACACCCCACCTTCTAGATTCCGGTCACTTACTGCTTCTCTCGCCGGAGTTTGATGGCTTCTTCCCCACCCTAAACTCTAGATTCTAGCTACCTACTGCTCCTCTCGTCGAATTTTCGCGAGACCCGTCGCCTATTGCATCGGTGGCTGCAACGGAGTTGAGGTGCTACAACGTCGCTTGTGGATATGAAATTTACTCCAATGTTGCGTATCATAGAGGCAATCCACAACCTGTGGAGGTTCTTGCGGCGTTACAATCGCCAGAGGAGGTTTCTTTGGTAATTTTGGGGTGATTTTCTATGATTTTTGTGGTGATTTTGCAGCATGTTTTGTTATGATTTTTGAGGTACTGGCCGTGGTAGTGTGCTATGGTGACGGCGACGAAGGGTTTATGGATTTTTTGGTGGGGTGATGGAGTGGTGTAGATGGAGATAGAGGAGATGATGGATGGTGGTGGTGTGCTATGGGTGTATTGTGCAGTGGTGGTGCGACAATTTTGTGGGTGTTGTGGTGGTAGTAATTGTGAGGACAATAGTATAGATGTGACCAGCTCGTGGTGGTGGGGGTGCGATATTTTTCTGATCTGTGGTTCGTTGGTGGTGGTGTAGATTGTGATGGTTCTATGGTTGGCTATGATGGTTTCTGTGATTGGTTGTGACTTGAGATTGACTTGGTCACAAATAGTCACACTGAATACAATTTTGGTCACATTTAGTTACACCGAAGACAAAGTTGGTCATGGATAATCGAAGGTCTACGGTGTGTGCAGATTTGGTTGTGGTGACTCTATGCGATCAATTATGTATTTGTTGTGATTGTTGATTGTGATCAGTTGTGATTTGAGATTGACCTAATCATAGATAGTTATACTGAATACAAATTTGATCACAATTAGTCACATCGAAGATAAAGTTGGTCATGGTTAATCACAAGTAACATAGGTCAATGAATTTGTAACATACAGTCACAATTTAGACGGTCACATATAGTCACATCGAAAACAGATTTGATCACGAATAGTCACATATGACACATGTATGGTCACATATAACATAGTTGCAATCTGATCACCTACAATGCATCATTATAACCACCACAATTTTTTGGAAAATTTTCTATTAGGAAGCCAGAGTAGTTGTCGGAATAGCCGTCGGAGTAAGCATCGGAGTGTTCATTAAAGCAGTTTGTCCGAGAGATTGCCGAATAGCCATCGGAGATGGCGTTGGAGGGATCGCTGAAACATTTGTTAGAGCAACTGCTAAAGCGGCTGTCGGAGTGACCGTTGGAGCAATCACCGGAGTCTATGGTCGTCTCCGATGGAAAGGTGGAGGGAAGGTGGTGTAGTGGGGTGGGTGAGTTGGCATAGGTAGAAATAATTAATGTATATTATATTATATTATTTAATAAATTTATTTATCACCTGATTTTTGAAAGATTTTAATGAATTTATTAGTTATGAAATGTGACCTTTAAAACTAGGAGTTATGTTAAGATCATTACAATAATTGTTGAAGTTCCACCAAGAAGTGTATTAATGGTTCATATATTTGGGCTAAAATCTCCGAGTCCAATAATAGGCAATTTCTTGGGAAATGGTGGCAGTTTTTCGAATTTATCAACATCTTTGGATTTCTTCATTTGGAGAGAAACATGAAGAGAAAGGATAAAAAGAGAGCAAAAGTTGTAAACCTAAAGGGAAAGCAGAGATCCATTTGGAAAGCTGATGTGTCAGTTGTTGATGGTAGTGGGTGCCCATATTTTGGTGGTTTTGGTTAAACAAAAAAAAAATAAAAAATGGGAACTCCAACCTTGATAACCCCCATCACCTTGCCCTTAAAGTTTTGTGAAGGAGGTAAATCGTGGGATATGTCCCAACAAATCAGGGAACAAGAGCTGCTTGTATACTGTGCCTACAAAGAGTCCAATTCCATGTTTCAGGAATTGAACCCCCACATTGTAGCTGCTAGCAAGGTGTGAGATAACCTCATTCTGTCTTTTGCACCACTGGACTATGCCTCGGGGGGCAATGGTGGTTTTGGTTTTGTGTGGGGTGGGGTGAATGGAGAAGATAATAAGATTATTTTATTTTATTTTTTTCAATTCGTTTATTTTAGTTTTTTATATGAAAGAAATTGTAAAGTTACCCTTTTGTTCTTTAAAAATTAGTGAATATTGGTCATACCTTTGATTTTAGGTCAACTAAAAAAGAAAGCAATGATTTATGTCAATTTGGACTCTCAATGTGAGTTTACCGTGAGTGCAACAAACTAAATGTTGAGTCAAGTTTGCATAAAAGTGATAGATTTGATTGATTTCAATTTTCCCAAAGAGAAAATTATAGGAAACAAGATATTTAGAGATTCCATTTCATAAATCATAGATTAAGTTTACTATTTCAAAATCAGATATTTTATTGATTAATTAATATATTTTTAATATTAATAATTATAAACCCACCCAAACCCTAAATTATTTTCCACTTTCTTCAATCTATAATTTCCCTTCGCTCTCCTGCCCTCTTTCTCTTCGTCAGCGGTACACAAATCTTCATTGTGGAAATACCCAGCATAGTGATGGAAATACTCAATATTCCCTTTTCATATCACCATGGGCATTTGTTCAAAATTTGTTTTCATCTCTGTGGGCGGAGTTGGCGTCGCACCTCTATGATTTTGCCTGCTCACCTAGGGATTGACTTGTATGGTAGTGCAAGTTGCGTGCGGATCTGTGAGACAGTGATGTGTGTGATGTGGTTTGTATAGTAAAGCTAGTGGTGATGTAGTGGGTGAAGATGGGGTGTTGCAGTGATGGTTTTGAGATGATTTTTCCTCCAACCTGGTTGTCAGAGTTTTGGAATATGTGGTGATGGTAGTGGTGTTTGCAATGGCGTTGTAGGGTGGGTGGAGGGTAGGGTGCAGTGGCGATGGGTTGCCTTGGTGCTAGGTAGAGATGGCAATTTGACTTGCTGGCTTGGGCCACCCGTAGCTCGGTTCGAGAAAAGCCCGCCTTGAGGCTCGGTAGAACTAAGCCAAGGCTCGGGCCAAGCCTCATTTTAGGAGGATGGGCAGAGCCCGAGCCGGCCCGCGAGTCTGAAAAAAAAATTAAGCAACAAAATGCTGCCTTTATCTTAAAAAAAAAGGTAAAAAAAGCGAGCCTGCCCGACTCGGTTCGTAAAAGCTCGAGTCGAGCAAAATTTTTTTGATCGAGCTTTTGCTCGATCCGGCTCGGGCTCGAAAAAAGTCCGCTCACTTTACCCGACCCGAGCCCGAGCCTCAAATTTTGGCTCGAAAGCCGGCTCGACTCTTTGACATTCCTAGTGCTAGGTAGTGTTGGAGGTTTGGGATAGTTTTTTTTGGTAGTGCAGGTGGAGGTGCTGGTTGGCACGGTGGATCTAGCATTGGTGGTCGACAATGGTGGTTGTTGTCCTAGTCAGGTCGATGGTTGTGGTCGCAAGTGTTGGTCGCAAATTATTTGGTTGACTGTGACCATTAAATTGATTAATCTGTGATCAATAAATAATATGTGACCCATAGAAAAGATAAATTGTGACAAAAAAATAACATGATTTAAAAAATTGTTAAGTTGTGACTTATAATATTCGTGATTTGTAATCGATAAAATAAATTATAACTTATAAATTTTTGATTTGTGATCAATGAACTAATTGTGACCATAAAATAATTTGTAATATATAAAAATTCTGATTTGTGATCAAAAAATAATA